GCGAATTATTTGGGTCAAGAGGAACTGAATGCACTATGGGTGCCAGTGTTGTACCTCTAGTCACCCCGAATTTTGTGACATATTATCGAGAAGGATTTTGCACTCAGTGAATGTTTTACTTAAAAATGCACCTCCAGCTGACGCATCCACATTTGCTTTCAAATTGTCAGCTAGCCCCATGTAGAATCTCTGGCCGAGCATCTGGTCTGGAATGCCATGGTGAGGTCACTTCACTAACATCCTTTTAAATCTTTCCCAAGTTTCTTGCAAGGACTCAGAGGGCTGCTGCCTATACTGCAATATGTCATCAATCTGTTTTGCAGTCTTGTTAGGCGGATAGCCAAGTCTGAGCTTCCCCGGTTATCGAGAATGGAAACAGTAGCAGCTTGATAGCTTCCAGAGTTGCATTTGGTTGCCTTTGGGTCATACAAATTGACAGAAAATTCTTCAAGTGTTGTTGCGGGTCTTCAATGTGTGACCCGGAGAACAGTCCTTTATTCTGCAGTAGATGCAGCATGTTGTTGGTGATCTGGAATGTCTCCGCTTGAATTGCGGGCACAGCTATGGCAGTGGCTAGATTATCAGCTGTGGGCTGTGCCCAGTCATAAAGTGCAGCTTCGAGCACAAGAGGTGTCACCCTTCTGACATTTAAGTCAGCTGGCTCATTCCTGACGTTTCCGTTGACGTTATCTACGTCACCCATGTCAAATTCGAGTTTGTGTGATTGTTGAGATTGTTGAAGTCTTTTGTTGGCATGGTTCAATGCCCTGAAAGTTTTCTCGGGGTCTGAGAGTCCTTGTAGCAGTTCTCCAGTCCTCGAAGAACTTCTAGGTATACAACTATTTTCCACAAGAGTTCAAACATTAGAATTTCAATGAAAAGATTGGGTATAGAGAAAACTGACTACACTTAGAATTTTTGTACTTCTCTCAATTGTAATTGATAACACCGTTAATTCCTCGGCAACGGAGCCAAAATTTGATAACGCCAAACTATGCCTTATACAAAGACACACACGGACGTAGCAAATATAATCTGAGTAATTCTGCCCAGAGTCGAACCATAGAGAATTAACCTATCATTTACTTTTGACGGATTTACTAAATTCACAGAATCAATTTTCCCAAACTTGTAATTCACAATTGATGATATTTCTAACAACTAAAGTCTGAAAATAATTAACAGTTGAAAATTAACTATGCTTGATGTGTAAACAGTTGGAATAAGGTCTAAGGTAATGGTTTCTCCCGTTAGTGATTTCCTTGGTTGTACGTTTCTTATAGCGATGACTTAGTTGTCTCTATCAATCAAGAACTATCCGGCTATCATAAATCTCTCTCAAGCAATTATGATAATTTACTAGACGTACTCTCTCAAGCTACGCTAGCTAGATTCATATTACCGTTCTTTTAGATTGCACTCGAGGTATCGTTATCTCTAATCCACTCTCTAAACCCTCGGTTATGACTCTCGTCTATACTCCGGGAGTTATGTTGTTCAAACAACTACCTAAATATGCACTCTCTCTCAAGAAGATACATAATAAATAGGAACGGATAATTGAGGGCCCTTTCAACTAACCACAATCAAAATGTAGATGAACGAATAGAGATTAACAACCAATTCAAACTATATTAATATAACAACCAAGTCATCCCCAACGGGTTTCACCAAAACCTTAGATTAAGGTGTTTAGCTACTCATGACAACGTAAGAATAAACTACGAAAATATTCATAATGGAAAATTGCAAGAAAAATAGAAGAGAATAAGAACTATGATGTTTTGGGTGATCTCTCACACTTGTTCTTCTTGCAAAAGTAATCTCAAAAAAATAAGCCCCCCTTTCTTGGGCGAGTTTCCTACATCTTATAAGGGTTTTACAAAAGCTTTTCCGAATTGACACTTTGGCCCCTTAAATTTCTGGACTGTGAATATGCCACCGCGGCCACGGCGTTGACCGCGGCGCTGACCACGGAGAACACTAACTCCAACCGCGGCGCGGACCGCGGTGGCAACCGCGGTGAGTATGCTGGGCCTTTTTGTCTCCGCGTTCCTTCTCTTTTTGCTCTTTTGTGTTTGGGTACTTCTTGAGTGAGTGTTTTTTTCACGTTATTGCCTCTAAACACTTCATGTTGTTTCCTCACATCTTATATTCCCTGCGAAACCAAATAGCATTAATTGAAGCATTTTATTGGCAACTTACATTATAAAACAACAACAACAACAACAACAAAGCATGGGCAATTATGGTGTAAATAACAACTATATAGCCTATTATCATATTCCCGACTAGGTAACTAATTATGTGTACTAGATGTGTTAAGACGAGTTATTCTTGCGGAGCGCACAATCCTAGATACACTGTACATATGGAGCCTAATAAAATGTATAATGACTAGAAGAAAATTATAATTGTAAAAAAAAGAAAGGAGATCAACTTAACATTGTTTCTAAAATTAGGTTTAACTTGTTAGCATGTCAACATTTGTGACTCGCATGCACACTACAACAACTCGAGATTCCAAAGTAAAAAAAAATAGAATAGAATCTAAGTAAATTTTATGAGAAACTACCCTAAACAATTAGAAGTTATAATTATATGTGGGTAATTAAAATTGGCTTACATGGTAGGCACACTTTTGCCAGTCAAAACTTCACACACTGAGGATAAATATACTCAAATATACATAAATAGAAAATTGTCGAACTATATGGGGTCTATTGCCCATCATTTCTAATAAAAGATCACAATTTACTGCACGATTTTGACAATCTTTCCAAGAAACATTGGTTACACGAGTAGATAGATCTTAGTACCCTATTTTATCAACCGACAGGCGAGCAGTCTGAACATGCTATGCAAATCTTAAAGTATATGTAGAGAGTTTACATTTTGAGTTTGGAGGTAGCTTGTACAAAAAACTACTTGAGAAATGGATGACACTACGCGAATCAAGTATACGTATTTCAGTTTACAAATACACTTATTTTAAATTCGGAAACCGAATTTCATAAGGAGGAGAGGATGTAATACCCCTTATTAAAGTAAAGGTATTTAAATAATTATCAATAAAAGCAACAAATAAAAAAAAAATACAAATGGGCCTTAGCCCATCAGAAACCTAAATTAGCATCACGAAAAAAAAATGAAAAATAAGCTAAAGAGATTTGGGGAAAAGATTTGAGCTGCCATTTTTTTTAGAACAAAAACGTGAGGCTTGCGCCTCTCTTTCGAGTGAAGGAGCACGAGGAGAACACAAGGCTAATTCATACAGTGGAAGAAGAAAAGAAATTAGAAAGGAACAAAGAATAAGAAGAAGGAAGACAAGAATCAAAGAATTAAATTTTGGCAGAAGCTATGAATATTATTTATTCCAGGAAGCTTTCACAAACCTTCTTTTTGCAATTAAAGGGAACGTGATTAGAAGGGGGATTGAGGATTTGTTTTTGGCATCAAGGTTATAAAGATCAAATAAAAGAAGGAAATTCTTGGCTCTTCTTCAGTAATGCCTCATGTAAGGGAAACAAATAGATAGAAACCAAGCTTTGAAAGGTAATTCTCTAACCCATGATTATGAATTTGACTTTTATATAATATGGGTAAGCTAAATTATGGACTAGTTGAATTACACATACATGTGTAAATACAATTTTACAAATTAAGTTTCAAATATGAAACCTGAGGGCTTAGTGTCCTAAATTAGCTATAAATTATCTTAAGCAAGGAAATTAACATGAGATCGATGTTGATGGGACTATAGATTGATTGAAGGAAGTCGTACAATGTCGTCCAAAGGTGACGATTTTGGTATTTCGGCATGAGTACTGTGAGTAGTAATCTTACCGCAATTTGTGTTTTAATAACTTACATGATTTACACATGATTTTTAATATGAATGTGTTGCCGATTATTTTGAGTTGCATGTAGGACAAGTCTTTTACTCGATATGATATCGAAATAGTTATTTGACATGATTACCATTGTTTTAAATATTCTTGTTGGCACTTGATATGTTTTACCGTTACTTGAATTTACTGTTATCGAAATGAAATTTCATGATTTGATAAGAACCGAAATGTCCTATATTGTTTTAAAATATTTTCCTATGAGTATATACGGATTACAGAGACAAGTATAAATGGGAGTAGACTTTGAAGGATCCCGTAGCTAACGACGGGTTCGTTAGACCTGGTGCACCTTGTAATTACCGATTACCATTATAGCCCTCGCTAGTGAGAAGGTAGAACTAGCATACCGTTGCCGATTACCCTCGAGTATGGATTACCGTTATATTTGACTTCTTATGAAGAAGTCCACAGTTATACTGATTACATGATCCGTTCATTGAAACCTCCCAAATGTGAATATTGATATTATACAGTGGTTTCCGAGTTTATTACTAAATTATTAATTGTATTATACCACAAGAAGAATATGATGAGACTGGAAATTATTTATTGTTTCTGAAAGGGCATTTTTATGTTATTTTCTGTTTGAGATACTAGCATGTTTTCTGACTTGTCCCCAAATAAAAACGGTTGTGGCTAAGTGTTATTACTCACTGAGCTAGCGACTCATTCCTCACTAATTTTTTTTTTAACAGAAACAGCAGTTGACACGGGCGAGGATTTCGTTAATTAGAGCGCGCAGGTCGATAGTTCCTGGTGAGCCACACATTTGTTCGCGTGGGCGAAGAGTTTATTTATTTATTTATTATGTTTTCTCCTTTTGAAACTCTTAGAGTCGCTCCATAGTCATTTCTATGAGTATCATGAGTATTCTTTTATAGATATAGATTTGTGACTTGTATTAGACTTTCATATCGTATTTTTGGAGATGAAGTTAGTATTATTGTGTTGGGAGTACTTCGTTGATGAGGATTATAACTTGTTTTGGTGGATATTGGTTGGTTGTGTTGTAATTTCTAAAACACGTTTATTTTTGGATAGTCCTAAAACAGGAGAAACTCTGTCCGATTTTTTATAAAATACCAATGAGGCTTACTGGGGAGTACTTGCTCCTAGGTGCCGGCCATAATCCTAAATTGGATCGTGACAGGGGATAATAAAGTTAGCTAAACAGTGATTAATTGATAGAACCATGTAATTAGTTTTATTACTAATTTATTATGTACGTTGTTGGTTGGTGGTGGACCATTTGGGGGAAAGAAACGGCAGGTGTTTTGACGAACAACAATTCCTTACAGAAAATTAAGTTGAAGCGCCTTCTTTTTTGTTTCACATTTGGTATAAGGAAGATTTTGTACAGTGAATCACATTCCCTGTTTGATATCATAGAATCCCTGTCACAGGAGTTATGTAAGAAAGCTATGTTTTTGGTTCTTTTAAATTGTAAAGATGGCTTTAGCACATCCTTTATGCTACAGATATATAATATTGTTACCATTCTCGAAAAATGTAACATTGTTGGTTGGTAAAAAGAATACGGAGTGGAGTACATATTATTGTTTCTTTGTTGTACTGATTTGTCACGTGACTTTAAAGACTTGCAAAAATCTTCAATTTGGTAGCTGAAATGTAATAGAAACTTTTCCCTTCTTTGTCATAATTAACCAATAATCTCAGGTGCCATGCATCTCTAAAATATCTCACATTGCTAACAACTAAAGATTCAAAAGATATGCACAAAATATAAAAAACCGGAAACAGAAACAACAAAGGAACTAAAGCAATAACAATTTATGTTGATGCAGCAAGCTCTTCAATTATTTGGCAGATCCAAATGCTAGCAGCTGCAGCTCTTGCTCAAAAACTAACATATTGTCTTTGTCTTTCAAGTATACCCATGCGTCTACTCCGCCACTATCTCTTGAATCCATCAATATAACAGTACCTACGCCAAAAGATCGAATTAAGCTTACCCATGAAGGTTTTCCCCAGCCAAAATCAACATCGTAAAATGGGTAGGTACACAAGCTACTAATATGTATCTCTATCTCGCCTCGGAAACGTGCTGCAAAGATCTCCGCAGCGTCATAGGGAATAGCAAATATTGCCTCATCTCGATTTTGTTTAAAATCCACATATTTGGAACTCAATTCTGATAATGCTTTTCTTATACAAGTGACCAAAGTGGGCAAGTCAGAGCCATCATTCTCGCCTTTACATGCTGTGGCAGGTGTAACAACGTTTCCTACACAATGGTTTGGTAATGGAGGGACAAGACGCTTTCGTATATTTACATTGTGCACCAATTTAGATAACCTTGTCTCGTTCCCTGAAGCAACCATGGCACATTTCCATATCACAGCTGATACAACTTCAACGCGACTAGGCATTTGTACTGAATCACTGACAGCCTTAGCCTTGAGGGATGTTATTGTAGAAGCATCAAAGGCAATAAATTTAGCGACAAGTTTCTTATCAACAAGATCTTTGGGTACGTCAAAGTTCATAGGCTTGGGTTGAACATGGGGAATTGGTGGTGGCAAGAATTTTGCAGCAGCAACGAATTCTGGCACAACGCCTTCAATGGTACCTCGAGCAATTGTTGACCAGGCATTGATGAGAGTGCACAATGTGGCACAATCAGCAACTTTGTGAGAAGCACGTATACCGATAGCCATACCTCCACAATTGAAGAGGGTGACTTGAACAAGTAGGGGATATAAGGCTGAATCAGACATGAATGATCCCTCTTCAACAGTAGTTGGGAGGAACCTTTCATTGACATATGCAGGCTTTCTAAGAACATCTTCCAACCGATAGTTATGAGCAAAAGCCTCGTAAAAGGGTACTCCATCGTCGTTGCATTCAACTGAGTTATCCTTAATTCGGCCAGCAAAAGGGTAAAACCGAGCAAGAATTTCAGACAAAGATTTCTTCAAAAGGAGTAATCTTGATGATTCGCCGCCATCTAAGGGAGGAGGATAGAATAGAGCTAAGGGAACAGACATGTCTACAGCCATTTGGTCCAGAAGAGAAAATTCGTAGCATCTAAGGTGATTGGGAGTAGGAGAAAGAGGTTTAATGAGCTCCACAGAAACTATCTCAATCTTTCTTTCCATGGCTAATTACTTTAGTTACATTTCTGGTTACTTTTGTCTGTTTATATATTATAGTGATCTATCAAGTGTTTTTTTTTTCTCTCTATTAGTCTACGGGAGATGGGTACCATTATGATTTTTAATAATAAATCAAAACTGAGAATCATGTGGTATTAATATATGGTTGACTCAAAGTTATTGAAACTGTCTCGATCTATATCCACTTCCATAATTTGAAGCATGAGCCAATTGGAATGGAATTTTCTCCATGCTTACTTACAGATTTCAATCTATTAATCAAATCATTTGCGAATCGATCTCCAGCTCAAAAAAATTATATGAATCTTCTTCGTTACGGTATGCACACGTACACTTGAATAATTATGGGTTCAAGTTCACAGATCTACAGGTTCCAAATAGAGTAATAAACACGACATTAGAGCAAATACTCTATATATATAGGTTGAGTTGTCATTAAAAATAAGAAATGAAAATCACATGGGAACATGACATGCATGCATCTCTCGTTGAATACAAGTTAATAAATAAAGTAACAGTTTGACTTACTTAAACATGAGTAGATAAATAATTTTCCTAATATTTCAATTTTTCACTTCTTACTCCTTCATTAGATAACGTGTAAAAATTTTACTCTCACTTTCTTAATTTGTCCAAATCAATCTTTCTTTTCCCGATCTCTTCGTATTTCAAAAACCCCGACATATTTTCTATCTTTCTCTTTAATATTCTTACTCACCTTCTTTCTCCAAGAAATTTAAGCTTCCAATAATTATATTCTTCTATTCCTCTATAAATCTTATCTAAAATTAACAATATCTCAAGAAAGATCAAATGACACTACTAGAAATTCGGTAAAAAGCGACCACAAAAAGCGACCAAAGTTGGTCGCTGGNGCGAAAACAGTGATGTCAATCCCTAAAGGATTCAAATAATTGGCAAGAAGCCCAAATGTAACAAGTAAATCCAAGTAGAAAACACGGTAAAAACATCTCTCGGGACGGACTAAGTCACAATCCCCCATGGTGCTCTACCCCATGCCCGTTATCCGACGTGCAAGTCACCTCAAGATAGCGTTACGATGTGAAATTCCGGGGTTTCAAACCCTCAGGACATCATTTACATCAATTATTCACCTCAAACCGGCTACTTCTTTAGCTCGCGATGCCTTTGCCCCTCGAATTGACCTCCACGTGCGTCGAATCTGCCCAAAATCACAACGAATATGTCGCATTATGCTAAAGGGAC